TAGTCCAGGCTGGCCTTGAACTCTCTGAGTTGCTCAAACTGCCAGCTCCTGCCTCAGCCTCCCATGCTGGGATTACACACCCACCCAGCTGCAACTCCCCTTTCAAAGGTTACTAGTGAAGAACGGGTGCTCCTGGAGCACCAAGGGGGACCAAGTGAGAGATGAGGCCAGTGCAGAGAGGGCACAAAGTCTCTGAGCGGTAGAATGGACCATATTTGGTGACAGACTGACTGTGGAGGGGAGGCGAGGAGAATCAGGGACAGCTGTTATGCGGTGGCCACGCTCGCTGGGAGCAAGAAAATGCTCCCTCGGGGTTCCTTGGGGAAGAAGGTGCGCTTGGAACCAAAGCCAGCGCCGCGGGCATGCTGCCCCGGAGGCCCTCCACTCTCCACACCCAGCGCTCTCCGCTCACGCCGCAAGCCCTGCCACACTAACCTCTTTCCACCCCTCAGACTCGCCAAGCCCATTCCCACCTCGGGCCTTTCCCCGCGCCGCTCCTCTGGCAGGAACAGCGTGCCCCAGCCCTTGCCTGGCCAGGTCCTCCCCACTGTTCAGGCTTAGACTCAAATGTCACCTCCCCAGAGACATATCCGTAGCACAGCCTCTACCTGCCATTACCTCATGTCTCTTTTATAGGTCCACCGAATGTCCCCTGGCACCAAAACACAGGGTTCCGCAGGGAAGGGATCTCACTGTTCTCCACTCCAGCGCCCTGCTCCATGGGGCTTTGCAGTGGACACTCAAGCGCTGAGTGCAGAGCCGCAGGCACAGAGAGGGCCATCCCAGTGCCAGAAAGAGGCAGGCTGGGAGGAGGACCTGGGCAGAGCCCCAAGAACTCTCCTAGCAGAAGTGCCGGGAGGGAGGAAGAGCGGGAAGGCAGGCAGGAGGCAAACCGAGGCTCCCCGGGGCAGCTCTAGCTGGGGAGCCTGGACTAAACCCGGGAAGGGCTCGAGGCCAGGTACCCAGACTCAAAAGCACACATCTTATCATCTGAGCCCCACTGAGCGCGTATTACCGTCTCCCGCTCCTGACCACCGAGAGAGCGGAGGCTGTAAGGCGACTGGTGCTCCTAGGCTTGAGGCCCTCGTGGTGGTTGGAGCCCATGTCTCATCCCCTCCCATTATAGAGCCAGGGGGAGCACTGCGAGGATGATGGACAGGTCAGCCACAACAGGAGTGGCCAGGAGAGTCTGAGACAAGGACTGAAAAGCCACCCCAGGCTTTGGTGATTGGGCGGAGAGGGGTGGAGGCCGGGGAGGACTGAGGGACAAGTTGGGGACCAAGAAGGCCAAGAAGGGGTGGCAAGCAAGGCAGCTCCTCTGAGAAGCTTGGCGATAGGAGAGTAACTGGAGGAGGCAGTGGGGGCAAAAGAAAGCTATTTTAAGGCAGAAGAAACCCGAGTGTGTTTTGATGCTAGAGCCAGTGGAGGAGCCATTAAAGAAGCAGAGTGCAGGAGGATGCTGGCAGGGCAGGTGCGGCAGGAGGGGTGCCAAGGTGGGAGCACAGCACTCCCCACTGGCTTCTGTCTTCTCTAAAGCAGGAGGGGAGGGTCTGAGCAGAGCTCTTGGGGGCAGGATGCTCAGGGTCCGAGCCTGAGGAAAGCCTGAAGAAAGACAGCTGAGAGGACAGAGAGCTGGCTGGCGCCATGGCCAGGCAGTGGCAGTGGTCCCAGGGGCCTACGTGACCATTCCTACAACCATCAATCTGTCTAGAGTGCAAGGTCAAAGAACAGAGCACTGCATGGCTCGGGTTTTATGGGGCAGTTCTACAGGGAGGGGAAGTTAGGACGTGGGCGAAAGAATGACCATGGAACCCAAACTGGAAGGGGCAGGAAGGGTGTGAAGGACGGGGAGGAAGCAGAGGCCGCATGCCGAGCGACCCTTGTCTGCCTGAGCAGGCTGAAAGAACAGCAGCGGCCCTCAGGCACAGCGTGTGAGGTAGGGTTGGAAGAGGGGTTGTCTTGAGCAGGACACAGAGGACAGACAGAGCAGCCACACCACTGGAGTAGGAGGCTGTAGCCCCTCCAGCTGCAAGGGAAGGTGGCAGCCATACAGCAGGAGGGGTACCTTTCTGTTCTGACTTGGTTTTTACTTTGCTTAGAGGTAGCATTAGCACAATACAAAGGAGAGTACTATATAAAAAAAATCCATTCTTCTTCCCACAGTGGGTTCACCAGCACTGGGGGACCATGTTACCACTTTTTCCTTTAGTGGGGCTCCTTCCTCTTGAGGCTGAGCTGAGAGGAGTAGTGGTGTGTGGCTCAGGTACCAGCTTCTCCAAGACACCCAACTGTGGGTCCCTTCCCAGCATCCCCAAGCTGCTGGGGACACCAATACCCCTGGCCAAGCTCTCCGTTTCTGAAAACCTCTCTCCTGAAACTCACGAGTAAACCCAGCCCTGGCTTCCTCCAGCAGCTTACATCTCTTGCAACATCATGGCCTAGAGCTCCCTCCACTGAGCTCTAGCCCTGGAAACTAACTGTCCACCGAACAGCTCCCCTGGGACATTCCTGTTATGCCTCAAATACAGTGCACCAGAACTGCATTCCTTGGCTGCCCCCTGCCTGTGGACCCCTCTGCAGCAGCTGTGGGTTGGTTTATGGCCATCCAACATCCGTTTGCTCCAGGACCGAACAGCTGCAGTTGTGATGAGGATTTGTACCTCTGAGTTGGACTTTGTAGTCTGGGGTGCTCCCCCAGCACCAATTTCCTGATAGATTTGAAGCTAAGGGACCATAAAGCCAATGTCCTGTCCATGCTGAGGCTGCGGCCGGTAACACTGACACCCACTGTGTACTTGCACTCTGCATGTGTGAATTTCTTTCCACCCTAATAAAAGACAGATGTAGTGGTTGATACATTGTGTCAACTGGAGAAGTTCGGCTGTTTAACTCAGCAGGAGGCCAGAGTCCTCACTCTGTAAATATCTTCATCCTGTGCAAGAGGAGGGCAGGAGATGGTGTGAGTGCTACACCCACCTTAGGGGTGGTAGCCTGCTTACAACATAAGGGAGGAAAAGAGGCTTGCTCTCCTCGCCCGGCTCTGCTCTTCTTGCTTTTGCTGTCTTCTGCTGCCTTGAAGTGTTGCCCCCGTGCCACACCGCCCTACCTTGGAGCCAGCTAGTTATGGTCTGAAATCTCCACAAACTGTGAGCTAAATAAACCTTTCCTTCCTTAATTTTGGGTATTGGCTATTTTGTCTCAGCAACAAAAGTAACCAAGACAGAATTTGGTGTGGGGGGTTCCTATGCTGTGAGTATACTGACCATGTGATTCAAAAGCCTTTGGGAATGGCTTGTAGGAAGTTTGGAAAGCTTTGGAGATGCTGGTTGAAAAAGTACAGCTGAAATAACTTAAGCCATTCTGTATGGGAGATTCTGGTCAGACCTCAGAAGTCTAGAAGGTAGATAGAAATCCTGCTGGTAAAGACCAAGCTTGGGAGGTTTTATATTGGGAAGAAGGACTGCACTGGCTGCTGGACTTCAGACCATGTATTTTATGGCTTGGCAGAAAGTTTGTCTGCATTTTGCTCATGTCCAGAGACTTTGCCTGAGACAGATTAAGGGCGGTGGACTAATCAATCTGGCAGAAGAAATTTCAAGGCAGTTGAACACTGAGGCAGTGGCATGGCTATTGTTGGGGGCTTTTAGCCAGATCTATGTTGAGAATCAAGAGCAAAGAGCCCAGCAGGATGATTTAAAAGGTGAGTTTGGCCAGAAAGGAAGCTCCAGTAAAGCTGTAGATTACAAAGAGTTGAGGAGATCTCAACTGCAGAGAAGGAACAGGAGAATAGGAAAGGGGCTGGGGATTTAGCTCAGCAGCACAGTGCCTCCCTGGCAAGCACAAGGTTGTGAGTTCGATTCCTGGTACCGGAAAAAAAAAAAAAAAGAGAATAGGAAAGATGGCCTGAGGGCATCAGCAAGTCTCCACCCTTTGCAGCCTCAAAACTGCAAAAGTGAAAGACTTCGCTTTGAGGAGAAAGCCACAGAGTATCATATTCCAGCATGGCAGCAGCATAGAAAATTTGTTCCTCAGAATCAGATTCAGAGTGCCCAGTGATCCAGGCACTCAGCCCTTCAGCCAAGAGAGAGGAAAGCCTCGCTACTGCTCCAGCTGGCAGCAGGCCTTGGCATCATCCACATGGTGCTGATTTTAGGTGCATAAAGAATGCAAGAGTTGTGGGGTTAAGAAGGCTTCCACCTCAAATTCAGAAGGCTGGGAGACCAAGTAGTGTGTCCCTGAGAGGGCAGTGTGTGAAGCTGTGAGTATGAAGCCAAAGGCATGATGGAGACCCCAGAAGTTTGGAAAAACTAGAAAAGTGAATCATCTAAGAAAACCTGCAAGGAGGAAGCAAAGTCAGCCCAAGAGAGAAGCCATGGGAGCTACAACCACCAGAAGTGCTGTAGGGGTGGAACCACACAAGCCCTTTGGAGCTCACAATGTGCCACAGATTGTCTCAGATGTTGCACATGGAACTACAAGACTTAATATTTGCCCTGATATGGATTTTGGACTCAATCCCTTGTATTCCCATTTGTAACTTGGAATGAAAATATTTATCTTGTTCCATTGAATTTTGCAAGTGTTTAACTTTTCATTTGTACAAGGGCTTGCAACCAAGAGTTTATCTTATATCTCAGAAGAGTCTTGGGCCTTGGACTTTTCAGCCATGCTGAAATTATTTGGACTCTGGCAACTCTTAGAGATGGACTCCATACCTTTTGCATAAACAGATGTGCATGAGTTTTGGGGGCCCAGGGGAAGAATGTTATGATTCTAATGTAACATAATATTGATACACTTAATACTGGTTCTTAAGGATTGTTAAATCTGTCTTATAATGTTCAAGTTGTGAAATGATAAGAATAAGTATGTCTTTGTATCTGGAAACTGGCTTAAAGAAATGTGTCTGGTTGCCAAGTTGAAAAGGGGTAGATAGTAATGGTTGATATGTTGTGTCAACTTGAGAAGTTTAGAAGTTTTTTGTTATTGTTGTTGTATCTTTTTTTGTTGTTGTTGTTTTTGTCTTTTTGAGACAGGGTCTCACTAGGCACTTCAGGCTGGTCTTGAACTCACTTTGTAGCCCAGGCTGCCCTCAAACTTGCAATGATCCTCCAGCCTTAGCCTCCCCAGTGCTGGGATTACAGGCTTGCCACCAAGCCCAGCTGAAGTTTAGAAGTTTAACTAAGCAACTCAGCGGGGGCCCAGGGTCCTCACTTTGTAAACATCCTCCTCCTATGCAAGAGGTGGGCATGGAGATGGTGTGAGTGCTACATCCGCCCTAGGGGGTGGTAGGCAGTTTACAATATAAGGGAGAAAAAGAGGCTTGCTCTGCAGCCCTTTTGCTCTTGTTGCATTTGCTGTCTTCTGCCGCCTTTAAGTGTTGCCCCTGGGCCATGCCACCCTGCCTTGGAGCCAGCTAATTATGGACTGAAACCTCCACAAACTTAGAGCTAAATAAACCTTTCCTTCCTTAATTTGGGGTGCTGGTTATTTTGTCTCAGCAAGGAGAGAAAAATAACTAAGACAATGGACAAGCAAGGTCCTGTAATTCCTCAGTCTAAAAATGAGAAAATTAAACCATAGAGAGGTTCAGTACCTTGCTTAGGAACTTTACTGGGTTTTTTGCTTTCTGTTTTCCTTTTTGAGACAGGGTCTCGCTACATAGTTCAAGCTGACCTTGAACTCACTATGTGGTCCACATTGGTCTTGAATTCATGGCAATCTTCTTGCTTCAGCTTCCCCCAAGTGCTGGGATTACAGGCATGCGCCATCCTACCTGGCCACTTTATTGTTAGTTTATATGTGGTGTCGGAATTCAAATGCAGGTACAGTGGCACCTCAGTTTACAAATGTTTTTGTTTGCAAAAAATTTGGTTCTTGAACAAAGGAAATCAACAAAATTTTGCTTCTGTTCACAAACCCCATATCAAGTAACAAACATAACAATAGCCATCTTCCCCACACAAACACAAACACAAACACAAGCCATTCCCCAAAATCATAAAACAAATTAAGTTCCTGAACTGAGATACCACTGTAGTGTGATTGAACCCAGAGGCATACTCTACCACTGAGCTCCTTCCCAACCCTTTCTTTCTTTTATTAATTTTGCAACAGGTTCTCATTAATTTGCCCAGGTGGGCCTCAAACCCAGCCTCCCTCAGTGCTCATATTACAGGTATGCACCACCAGGGCCAGCTTAAAACTCTTTCATTTTTGTTGTGTTTTGGAATCCTTGATCTTGACCACTAGACCATACCATCCAAAGCCGACACAAAGGGAAACAGAACCAAGCTAGGGTAGGAGAACTAAGGGCCTGCTCTCATGATTTGGACCCTGAATCATGCCAGGCCAGAGGCCAGAACTACCCTTAGCCTTTTTAATTACACAGGCCAATCAACTCCCCTCTGTGGAAGCCAAATAGTTTGGGTTTTCTGTAAATTCAGACCACAGAAGTCCTAACCGATAACACAACATCCAGTGCAAGCCATCACCACCCACTCAGTACGCAAACCAGAAACCAGGGCATCCTCGTCCCCCGCCCGTGTCCTCCCTCATATCCAGCCAGCAACCGCAGCCTGCATCCCAACCTCTGCTGACTGCGGTCTTGCTGGCTTTTGACAACAGCTTTCTTGCTGCCTCTTTACTTCCAGATGCTCCACCCTCAAATGTACCCCTGGCTGGGAAGGTCCAGACCCTGCCGTGCCACTTCCCCGCTCGAAAGCCTCCAGTTACCTTGATATCCCTGGGACAACCTCCAGCTCCAGTCCCCGCCGGCCCTGCCCGCTGCCCTGGTCTCAGCTCCTCCCTTCTCCCCGCTCTAACCACAGCTGCCAAAGCCCCCGGTGCCCAGGGTGTCTTGTCCCGCTTGCCTGGAGAAGCCCCCTCCTTACTCCACCTCTGTGGTTAGCCTTTGCCAGCTCACAGCCGGGATCCCCCTCTGCCCTTACTCTTTCCAACTTCAGCCTTGGGAGCCCTGCTCTTTACCAGATTGGGAGCTCTATTTTTTTTGGTCTTTTTGAGGCAGGGTCTCGCTATGCAGCTCAGGCTGGCCTTGAGCTCACTTTGTAGCCCAGGCTGGTCTCAAACTTGCAATGATCCTCCTGCCTCAGCCTCCCGAGTGCTGGGATTACAGGCATGCGCCACCACGCTCGGCTTCAGACTAGGAGCTCTTTGACAACAGGGTCATTTGTCTCCTGGTGACCAGTTCCAGAGCACACACTCACTAGGTCCTCCTGGAAGGGAGGAAAATCACGTGCTCCCAAGAACAGAGTGGGTGGTTCCACAGTTCTGTTCCTTTCTCTCTCCCTTCCTCCTCTTTGCAGATGGCGTTCCGGGAAAACAGTCACAGTGTCACATGATGATAACAGTCCCGAAGCCTATCAGTGGTCAGGCCTTGTCTATTGGATCCTCACCAGCACATGGATGCTTCCACTGCACGGATGGAGAGGCTGAGGTTCAGGAAGGCCGACAATCTGAAGCTTAGTGCCCACACACAAAGCCCACTCTCATCTCAGCACCAGCCTCAGGCCAGACTCTGAAGGAAGCGGTGCTCTTTCACACACTGGCCACAGAGAGGCAGTGAAGTGATGGCACAAGAGTCACTTTCTGCCCCACCTCACATCCACCTTCATGACTTGGATCTGAGGGTAGAAACAGAATGGTCAATACATAGGCAGGACCAGGGGACATGATTGGGGCTACATCTCAGTATCTGCTAAAAACAGATCAACCTGGAGGGAAGGGAATAAACCACTAATTCTAAGAGTCAAGGGCTAGGGCCAAGCGTGGTGGCACGTGCCTGTAACTCCTGTACTAGGGAAGCTGAGGCAGGAGGATCGCCAAAAGTTCGAGGCCAGTCTAGACTACATAGTTCAAAGCCAGCCAGAACTGCATAGTGAGATCCTGTCTCAAACAAACAAACAAAAAAAAAAAAACGAGAGTCAAGAGCTAGAAACACAGACTGTATACCAGAAACTTGTATGACCAGCATATTTAATAACAAGCCATAGAAAGTGATGGGGCACTACAGGATTGCTTAGGCACTCTTGGCTTTCAAGAATATGGCACTGACCAATAGCCCGCCACAGGGACACATCGGTGGCCTCTCACATCAGTGCTGCCCGCACCAGGCAGGATAGGGGTTGCATTCATGTGCACAGACACCTGCAGGACAGACGCCACAGTCAGCATCTCCGGCACTGAGCACCCAGGTATGTGGTCGCTTCCAGGAGGTCCCACAGCACAGACCCCACAGGCCCACACCCAATAGTACTTCAGAGGGTCTCAGGGAAGAGCTCAGAGGCTGCAGCTGGGTGCAAGGACCCTGGGGTGGGTCACAGTCCAGGCGCCTCCCAGTCCATCATGCGCAGGGTGAATGGGTCAAGGTGGCAGGACTTCTCCGGAGGGCAGCTGGAGGGCAGCACTCCTGAAAGCAGACCAGGCAAGGCTCAGGAAGCTGAGAGAGATGACCACCCCTACCCTCGCTGGAGGGAAGCTGCACCGCTGTGGAGGTGGAGGGAGGGATCAGGTAGACCCTGCAGCCTCTTCCAGCCCAGGGTGAACTCGGGCTGGAAGAAAGTTAAGGCGCCACATCAGCCCATCAGTTGCCCCGGCCCTTCCCCAGGGACAGCGCAGACAGACGGAGCTCTTCCGCTGTGCTCAGACCTGCACCTGGCCCTCATCACTCACTCCCTGCTGCTGCCTGAGAAGGAGTGACAACAGCACTCACATTACCATTTTCCAAATTCTTTTCCTCCCCACTCAGCCTGATCAGGGTCAGAGTTCCACAGCAAACATCTCAGTATCTTCCTCCCAGGAACACTGAGGTCCCCAGCACACCCGACACCCACTCTAAACAATTCAGATGCAGGGATATCAAAAGCAGGAAGTTGAGGAACGTCTTTGCCTACCCCCTTGTCACCCTCACCCCCGTCCTGGGTGTGAGCAGACGTGATGATGCTGGGGACACGGCCCTTCCCTACACCAAGTCACTTTACAGCCCTAATACTCCAAGCACTTGAACCCAAAGGCCAACCCAAAGGTCATCATCCCTCGGCTCTGACCGCATGGACTTTCTCCAGGGATGTTTATTCTGGTAACTCTCTCAGCCCTTCCCCACTGCTCAGGTTCTAGCCAGACAAGCTGAGTCCAGCTGGCTGCGGAGCTGTTTCTGTCTGGCATCTGGAAGACTGTTCCAGCAGCAAGGGGGTATCTGATAAAGCTACTGGGGGCGTAGAGATAGGAGGCCGTGATAGGGGCTTGGGTTGCAAGTCCCTGACTCAAGCTGTTCATCAAATGTATGTGAAGGTTTGTTCTTTTGGGGAGTGAGTTCACGGTTTTGTAGCAGCCTCTCAAACAGTGGTGGAAACGCAGGGAAAGGAAGGCGGGCTGGAGCGGGAGGAGCAGCCAGGGGAGCAATGAGCCCCAGGGTCCAGCTCCAGCTCTGCCATTGTCTTAAGCATGTTACTTGTGTTTCAGCGCTTTACTCAATTCTGAGAATCTCCCTCTTTGTAAAATGAAGGGGTTCCTGGGGATCTGGAGCCCCTCCGCCCCAGCTGAGGTAAGCGAGAACACTGGGGCAAGGTGTGGGAACAACGCTAGAGCAGCAGAACGCAAGATGCTAAAGACACTAAAGGGAAAGACACGAAAACAGCAGAACGCAAGAACCCAAGTAAAAGAAGTTCTCCCCCTACCCGGCAAGGCTCAGCAAAGTAAGAGGGGGAATGTCCCCTGAACCCAGCCAGGAGCTGGTGCCAGAAGTCACACTGCCCTGACAGCCCTCTCCCCAACGGCGGGGGTGCTGTTCTCGAGGTGAGCAGTCCACAGCTCAGCAAGGCCGCTGTGGCACAGCTGCCAGGATCAGTGCCAAGTCCTGAGCTCCTCACCAGGAGTCGCACATCGTCGTCAGCTTCGCAGCTGCTTAGCTGCACCTGCCCACACCCTCCCGCTGCCCGCACCAGCCCCTCCTCCCGACACCCAGCAGGACTTCCTTCTGGGGTGCACGGGCAAGAGAGGTCAGTCACCCCCAACATCCACACCCACAGGAACCTCCCACAAGCTCCTGCTTACACCACTGAATGGAGGGGATGGAGAGGGAAAGACACACACACACACACACACACACACACACACACACAGTCAAGGTAGCCTTGGCCTGGAGTTACCATGGCTTCTGGGCCACCCAGGCCCTTCCTTCCAGATGGTTCCTGTCTTTGAAGAGACGGGGTAAAATATCCAGACACAGCCCCCGCAGCTGGGACTCCTCAACCCCACTTCCTGGAGCAATGTGCTCCTGAGGCACCGCAGCTGCCAGCAGTCTTGCCATCCACACGCCCCTAACTCATACCACGCAGAGCTCCTTGCTCCAGGCGACATCTGTACTACAGCCCTGAGCAGGCCACACTCCCTACTCTGAGGATGCCTGCAGCCATTTCTCTCCAACCTGCAGAGCAAAGGGCAGTGCTGGGGCCGGCAGAGTTGTCCCTTAGTACCTGCAGGGGCGCGGCAGATGCACAGTGGGGAGAGGCGTGGGTACCAAGGGATTCAAAGCACACTGTGCCCCCGCCCCCGACTCCTGCCTCTTTGACCTGTCTGCTGTCCCTTCTCCCAGTTACACAGCAGCTGTCTGTTCCTAGATAAAGGACATAAGAGAAAGGGAAACTTTAAATGGGAGGGGACTCAATGCTGCCTGAGGCAATCCGGAGGAGGAAGCAGCACATTGGGGTAGGAAGCTGTAGCCCCAATCCTCACACTGGCTGGGGTTAGGGAACTCAGCCTTACTGAAGGGCTGATTTCCCACAGCTGCCTGGCCACGCCCAGAGAGGTGCCCTCCACAGGAAGGCTGTCCTGCCCCACCCCTACTCTCTTCCCTGTGGCCCTCTCACCTGTGCGCGACACTCTCACCTGCGGGGGGAAGGGCCTCTTCCCAGGTGTAAGGCATGCAACCCCCAACACGGCCTGGCACCTAGCTGTTGCCCCCACTGGAGCCGCTGGTCTCAGCCTCAAGGGATGCACGCCGCTCATGAGCCAGGAGCCCTGTCAGGCCATGGGCTCGGACGAGGAGGCTGCCACCCAGGAACAGCACCCCGCAGAGCACGAGCAGTGACAGCACACCCAGCACAGCAGCCTGCACCATGTGAGGTCCCTCCAGGGGCTCTGGCGGTGCCCCAGACTGGTTGCAGCAGAAGCTCGGCCAAGCAGCTTGGACCCCAAAGCCTGCCTGTGAGCCGTTCATGCTCCGGCGCCCCTTGCCCAGATGTGTGTAGGACACCAGATGTGCAAGAGCTCCAGCCAGCCGGTGGGCGTGCTGCTGCATAGGGGAGGGATCTTAGGGGCGTGTCCAGGGGCCCTAGGCCCCCACTCTTCGCAAACAATGCTCAGCCCCCTCCTTTAGAGAGCTCCTCCAGTGAGGATTACAGTCCCTTCTGCAGAGGGCGCTCCCTGGACCCAGCCTATTTCTCCTCCCAAGTCTCACACCTACCTATGCACAGCCAGCCAGGCACACCCAGGAGCCCTGTACACAGGTTCTTTTTTTTTTTTTTTTCTTTTTTTTGGTTTTTCTCCGGTACTGGGAACCGAACTCACGACCTTGCGCTTGCCAGGCAGGTGCTTTTGCCGCTGAGCTAAATCCCCAGCCCCAGTACACAGGTTCTTCTTCCTTGGCAGAGGCCTAGAGCCAGCACCTCCGAGACCCTCAAATCCCACCATGCACGGGCTGGGGTGCTGCCCGCTCCACCTGACAAATGAGGGTTTTCTGTCCTTGGACCAGAGTCTAACACCACTAGGTGGCTCAGGGGGCTGTTGAGCCACACGGCAAGTGGGCAGCGTAAGGGTCCGCGTTTCCCGTCACACGCAGACCAGGGCCTCCTGAGGACCCTGGGGCCTGGAGAGGAGGGCGGCACCATGTCACCCCCGTGCTCCTTCCGTCCCACACCCTAGGCCTACTTATCTATACACCGATAAGAAGCCACAGATCTGTGCCACCTCAGAGGAATCTCAGTGACAAAAGGGATGGGGATGTTACAGCCCTGTCCACCGTGGGCAGCCCATCCCCAGCTGGGTGTCCCACAAGCCAGCCAGGGTGGAAAAGCAGAGGTCTGGATGCAGAGAAGCAAAGCTAGGGTAGAAGCAAGAGACACGCCTGCTCAGGTTTCCTGGGAAATCCTATAGCAAATTTTTCTTTTTTGAGACAGTTTCATTATGTAGTTCATGCTGCCCTTGAACTCCTGGCGATCCTCTTGTGTCAGCCTCCCAAGTGCTGGGATTACAGGCGTGCGCCACCACGCCCAGGAACAATCTTTTGAGTTTTTTGGGGTGTGTGTGGTAATGGAGACTGGTCACAGGACCTGTGCACTGAGCTACATTCCCAGATCTCTTTCTCTCCCGCCCTCCTCCCCTCCCTCCCTCCCTCCCTTCCTTCCTTTCTTTCTTTCTTAATCCCCTGGGCTGAGCTTGAACCTGTAGTCCTCTTGCCTCAGCCTCTCAAAGCACTAAGATTATAGGTATGTGCCACCATACCCAGCTGAGTCTTTTTGAAAACAGTCACTTCTAGGAAACAGCTGTATCAATGTCTAAACAGGAAAACAAGAAGGCCCCTCAGACTGCAGCAGGCTAGATGGGGGCCACAGGCCAGCAAGGACATGTTGGCGAGGGTCTTCCCCATTCCCAAGCCCCCTTCCCATTCTGCAATTCTCTTATGCCAGAGGACATAAAACCTCAGTCAAATAACAGCATACGGCTGTAGTATGGGAAAAAATACAAACATAGCCAGGCGTAGCGGCACACACCTGTGATCCCAGCACTCAGGAGGCTGTGGCAGGAGGACTGCTCCAAGTTTGAGGCCAGCCTGGGCTACAAAGTAAGTTCAAGGCCAGACTGCACTGCATAGTGAAACCTTGTCTTAAAAAAAAAACATAGCAAAACAGAAAATAAATCCACAGAAACGCAGCATATGAGGTAGGCCTTGAGTAGGCTTGTGTAAAAATAGTGAGTTACAAAAGCAATGCTCTAACAATCAGCAAGGTCAGCCCAGGCCGGAAGTGCACTAGACACCACTATCCCAAGCTGGCCAGGCTCTCCCAAAACACCCACATCAAATGACTTTCTGGTGTAAATAGGGATCTGTTTGTGCTCTAGGACCACAGAGAAGATATTCTTTGGGGTATCATGAAGTAAGACCAGATAACACAAAGGCCAGGGATGTCGTGGCTTCCTCAGCAAGCAAAACAGCTCAGTCACATCCAAAAGCAACAGACCCTTACCCGACACAGTCATTCACAGGACTAACCAGGGTCACATCTGGGTAGGTAACACCTGCCTATGTGAATGTCCAACAAAGTGCAAATTATGAGTTTTAATCTATTTTTAACCCCATCCACCTACTCCCTCAGCCTGGAGTCATGTCCCGACCCACAACTGTGTTCTTAAAGGACTGCCAGGAAGTGTTAGCGCTTCAGGGCAGGCCACAGCGAAGGACAGATGGTTCCATCATGTCTCAGCTTTATTACCATCTTCGTGGTGGCTCTTCTGTACAACGGAGAATGAAGGGGACCCCTTCCAAGGGAACGGAGAGACCGCACGCAGGACCTGACTGTCAGCAGAGGTTCAGGGATGACCAGAGGCTGGCAACCGCAGAACAAGGAAGCCAAGGGCCACCCTTTCCAAGTCTCACCAAGGAGCTAGAGCAGCTCAGACTCCCAAGGGCCTGACAGTACAGTCCCTGGGGCCAAGGTCTGCAAGCCATAAAGGAGCTCCCACAGCTCCAGCAGCCCTACAGGGCAAGGGTGTCTTTGATAAGCCTGCGCATGGTGGTGGTGACTGAGGTGCCTAGGGCATCAGTGATCTGAAAGGAGATCTTATAAAGGTAGGGCTGCACGTCCCGCAAGCCTGTGTCAAACACGTTGTCCACCTCCGACTGCGTGGGCATCTTGGGCAGGTACTCATGCCGGTTCATCACCTCCACAATGTTGATGATCTTCTCGCAGAGCTTCTCACCCACCTTCTCCCGGCAGATCTGCCGCTCCTGCTCTGTGGCCAGGGCCACCACGTGCACCTTGACTGTCCACACTTCCCAGGGGATGCACTCATCTGAGAAAGGCCACCGAGATTTCTTCTTCTGATAGAACTCCAAGGACATCTGCCCCAACCCATCACCACCTGAGTTTCGCAGTGCATCCTGGGGAAGAAGAGGTAACAGATGAGCAGGCCAAGGCCTTTGAAGAACTCTCACCCTACCAGCGCCTACTTCCTAAGCCCTTGGGAATTACACTCCCCTAGTTCTTATTAGTCCTTCAGAGATGTAGAAAATGAGATCCAGAAAGTACAGAGCACTTGTGTAAGGTGACACGGCAAACTTTCAGCCTGAAACCAATACCACACACCTCCCAGCCCAATTTCTTCAGCTGTGCAGCTGTGTGTGTGTGTGTGTGTGTGTGTGTGAGAGAGAGAGAGAGAGAGAGAGAGAGAGAGGGAGAGGAACAGGGAGAGAGAGAGAGAGGGAGAGACGGTCTCCACTTACCATGTATATCAGGCTGGCCTTGAACTCACTATGTAGCCCAGGCTGGCCTCAAACTCAATGACTGCTGGAATTATAGGTGTGTACCACCACACTCTGCATCAATTTTGTTAACCACTTACCAGTGCAATTATTTAAATACAGGATGACCTTTCTGTTAATTTTTGTAAGATAATATAATAGTATATATAAAAAGACAATTTTACCAAATTTATTCAATACAAGAATTGACTGAGCCAGGCATGGTGGCACACACCTGTAACCCTACCACTTGGGAGGCTGAGGCAGGAGGACTGCCTCAAGTTAAGAGGCCAGCCTGGAGTACAGAACGAGTTGAAGGCCAGCCTGAACTACATATCCAGACCCTGTCTCAAAACAAATAAAGAAGACCTGACTGGTTGAAATGACACCTGCCCAGTGACACCCAGGGTAAACTGTTAAATGTTTAAGAATTGACATTAGTGCCCCAGGTGTAGTGGCACACACCTATAACCCCAGCTATAGGTAAGCTGAGACAGGAGGCTGGAGAGTTTGAGGCCAGCCTAAACAATTGAGACCTATCCCAAAGTAAAAATTTAAAAGGGCTGCAGGTAGAGCTCAGCTGCACAGTGCCTGCCTAGCATGAGTGAAACTCTGGGTTCAATCCCCAGTGCCTCCTTGCCAAAAAGAGAAAACTGACCTTACAGGACTTATTTTGGTCTGCAGGCACTTAATCTATCCCAGGAACTTCAAACAATCTACTGGCTTGTCTCAATAACCCATGATACAGGTACATGACCTCCATTTTACTAAAGCAAAATGAGGCTCAGAGAAGGAAGGTAATTTGCCAAAGCCAGGTGCCTAAGAATAGCTGCATCAGGGAAGATATGACTCTAGACTGTCTAATTTCAAAATCTTTTTCACCTTCACCTTCACGTTAAGGGCCTTCTCCCTCCATAACCCACCTTTAAGATCTCTATCCTTCAAAACATTTCCAACATCTCCTCCCCATATAATTCTACAGCCTTCTCCACTGCCAATTACATATACAGTGCTACTGTATTTCATGATAATCCACTCTCATAGTCTCTTTTTAAAAAAGCAGGAAATGGGGCTGGGGATTTAGCTCAGCGGCACAGCGCCTGCCTGGCAAGCGCAAGGGCGTGAGTTCACTTCCTGGTATGGCGGGGGGGAGCAGGAAAAGCCAGTCATGGTGGTACATGCCTGTAATCTCAGCACTTGGGAGGCTGAGACAGGATTACCACAAGTTTGGGGCCAGCCTAAACTACACAGTGAGACCCTATCTCAAAAAACAACTAAGGCAGCGAGTAGGGGCTGTACCGACTAGTGATCTTTGTTGAAAAAGGAAGCCAAGAAACAGAATGAGGAAGGGAAGCTGAAGGAGAGATCACACCTGGCTCCTTCTCTCTCTCAGAAGAAAATGGGATCAAGCAGCCCAACAATTCTGCCTTTCCCACCCCAAGGATGTGGGGGCCGTCTGCTCCGCCTCTTAACCAGGAGCCCGAAGCACCTTTCCACGTGAGTTAGTCCCAGCCCAGGAGGGAAGGACGCCTCTTCAGGAGGTCTCTCCTCCACGCACAACCCAGGCCAGTGCCCACCCCGACTGCTGACAACAGCTACCACCTCTGCAGTGCTCACTGTGCACCACGCTGTTCCAGCCGATTCCCATTTCATCCTTGAGGTACATGGACCCTACGACGTGGGTATGACATCATTCCAATATTACCCACAGTGGCGTCAACTTGCCCAAGTCACAGACTTGTCAGATGGCAGAGCCTGTCTCCAGAGTCTGCCTTAACCACCCTGCTCCACATGCCTCTCAGAGACATCTGGAGGATGGGGATAAATTCCACTGCCTCTCTCCCAGGTGACCAGGAACCATGAACATGCCCTTTCAGGGTTTGCTGTGGCCCAAGAGGGGCCACCTGAAACTGGGCAACCCCTTGCAGTGGGCGCACAGCATCTAGCAGGAGAGGGGTTCTACAGACAGACATGAAATGGAAATCAGACATAAGCCTCAAAAAAGAAACACTAGCCTGTAATCCCAGCACTTGGGAGGCTGAGGCAGGAGAATCACTGCAAGTTTGAGACCATCCTGGGCTACAAAGGGAGCTCAAAGCCAGCCTGAACTGCATAGCGAGACCCTGTCTCAAAAGGAAAAAGAAAAAAAGGATGAAGGAAGGAAGGAAGGAAGGCAGGCAGGCAGGCAAGCCAGCCAGCCAGTGTGGTGGTGCACATCTATAATCCCAGCCCTCAGACGAGGCTGAGGCAGGAGGATCGTTGCAAGTTCAAGACCAGCCTGGGCTACAAAGTGAGCTTCAGGCCAGCCTCAACTACATAGCAAGACCCTGTCTCAAA